TCCCCTTCGGGACCCCGCTCTCCGTTTCCTCTGGGCTCCTGGCCCTGCGCTGAGTCACACACATCTGCCAGTTCTGCTCCGTCACTGTGGGCCAGCCCCAGCTCTGTGTCCGGCTCCCTCTCTGGCTGCCGGCCACTCCTGCGCTTCCTGGAGAAACCTGCCTCGCCAGAATCTGGGGCAGGAGATCGAGGAACACGTGGTCACTGGGCGATGCCCCAAGGATGGTGGTGCCCTTTCCACTGTTCCTCACAGAGGGCTCCTGTGCTGGGACACGGCACCAAGGGAGTGAGAGACATTTCTCAAGCCCGACACCCCCCGCCCCCCGAGACACACACACACACACACACACACACACTTCTGGTCTGCACAGGAGTCAGAAGAGCTAAGACCCAGAGTCAGAGGCACATGCAAGCCCCTACTTCGATTTCTAGCCCCTGTCATCTACTGGTGGCCTGTGTGTTGCTGATGCTGACCAGGGTCCAGCAGAGCTGCTGGACGCAGATGGACCAGGAAGAAAGGCCTGGAGAGCTACTTCTGAAACCAGCCAGTGACCTGAAACCAGCTCTGGGGACGGCACGGGGCAGGACAGCATCGCCCTCTGCAGTGCATGGGCGGACCCCACTAGGAACGACGGCACGTCACCAGCAGAAGACTCGGCACACAGAAGGTCCGCTTAATGAGAACCCCCAGCCTTGCTGGGTGCGCACGCACCCTGCTTCCTGCGCCGTGGGGTTTCTGGGCTCCTGTCCCTCCCAGGAGAATGGCCTTTCACAGGCAGTGGCCTTTCTCTGGCGGGTGCTGCTGGGGCACTGATTGGAAACATCCACCCAGCCTGCGGCTTCCTGTTTGGCCCGAGACAACATTCTCCTTCTCTGATTCTTGTTGATTCAAGAGAGAAGGCTAATTGGGACTCATCTCGAGTTCCCAGGGATTTTTACTTGGGAAATGCGAACAATGGGGTTGTGATGAGTTGAAAGCGCGTTTCCTTCTAATTAACCACACAGGGTGAGGGGCAGTGTTGAGGGTTTGCGCCACCGCTTGAGAGGAAGGTGGTGGCATTTGTGGGCACGAGGGTTCTGAATGAGCTGGGCAGGTGTTTTCTGACAGCGCCACTCTTGCGCCTCTCCCACCCCACCCCCCGCCCCCCAAGCA